GTGCGCTTGTTATCTTGCACGAGACAACCTCAGGCCTCTATTAGGCTGCAACAAGAGAAGCAGATTGTTTGGTTGAAGTTTTATTAAGTGGCTCGGCATTTGCATACGTGTCTACCCCACATGCGTGACCGGTGCGATCCGGACGATTGTGCGGTTACATACTATGTGTGTGTGTGTGTGTGTCGGCGTGCACGTGTGTGTGTGTGTACATATCTCATTACAAGGGTTTAGATGTCAAGGCAAAGACACTGCACTAACCTGAAGGCTTTAAAATGAAACATTGCGCTGAAATGAAATAGCCTGTCAAGGACTTGATAGCCAACAGGAATTATGATAAATTTGCTATTAGTACAAATCCTTTAATTACAAGGGCCTCGTAATGGAAACTGTCCATCTCGCTCGCCGCGATTGCATAAAGGCTCATTTTCTTGAGAAAATGTTTTAAAAGGCCCTCGGGGGGAAACGACTTTGGCGTCTTTATTAGAACGAGGGAATACGGGCGGAAGCTAGAACTTTAAATACGCGTAAAAGCTTCTTCTGTCTGCCTCCTTTTGTCTGCTTGAACTTTAATTCGCCTTCGGAAACAAAGGGTTTACCTTCTGTTTTGGAGCTTAAGAGAGAAAAGCTGAAAATAAATGGTCTCGCAGCAGGATACATCCTCTTTAATACCTTCTTTTCAACCACTTAGCTGAAACCAGACCTTCTCGTTTATTGATTTAAATAAACCTTTTAAGCGGCAAACATTATTTCCGAGGGGTCGCGTTGACATGATGCTGTTGCTAATTGCATCAGCTTTATATTTGATGCAATTATTTAAGCAAATGATTGTGTTAAGGCTCAATTAAAGTTAATGTAAGTTATATTTCCTGCTCCTCCACCTGCTGAACACACCTGGATGATATAACATGAAGTATCAGGAGACTGGAGGATGAACTAATATGACACAAAGCACATTTCAGCACGAGTGTTAAATCTTTTGCAAATAAATTCAACTCAAACAGGGAATTTGGGAATATTTTCCACTGTGATCTNTGTAGCTGCAGGTCCAAACCTTCTGAAGTGTCCACTAACTCGTCACTGACTGACTCCCTCCAGATGTTTATGTGTTTCCTGTTGATCGTCCAGTGAAGCCAGATGCTTGCAGAACTTTGTTTTGCTCGACGATCCAACGAACTCACTGCAACACTTCAACGAGACACCGACGTTCAATTCGAACAAATCGATTAATTCAAAGCAAATCGACGTCCTGAATGGAAAACAAGGCTGAGCAATGCGTCGTTTGCTTTTCAAAGACGAGATGCAGTTTGAAACTCGTCCTTCATCTCCCTAAATTACCAACAATCAGAGAATCACCGCTGTCTTGTCTCAGATACAGCCTGTGTGTGTGATGAAACCTGCTACGTTTGTGTATCGGATTTATCGGTCACACTCCGTCCTGTTGAGCTCTTGAAGGGGTCACGATTATCTTTTCTGATAGCTAACAGTCTTTTTTTGACCCCGACATTCATGAAAAGCCATAATTCTTGGCTCCTCTTGTTGTCTGGTTAGCTGAGCAACATCGTGGCTTCAAACTGCAGCGTACTCTGATCCAAAACAAGATGTGATGTTGAGCACATGCCATTTTAATTGACTTTTATTGGAGCTAAATTGCAGCAACAATGTCAAAGGATAATAAGACAGCTGGTTTAGCACAGATAGAGTCTCTACTGGGAGGGAGGAGGTGTTTAGCTTTAGCTCAGGGAACCATATTCGATTTAAAAAAAAAAGACTAAATCAAGATTTTTTATTACTTTAGATTTCCGTCTATATTGCCCAGCCACTGTTTTCTAACAACATCAAAGTTCAGCGAAACTCATGTCTTAAAACTTCTGTAAGTAACTATGTAAAAATAACTTTCAGTTTGCAGAGAGGGATTTTTATTTTATTTTATTTTTCTTCCCTTCAATCCTGCCTGATGATCAAAGCCGGCAGCTTCTTTTTTATTCACAGCGACTTTTGTCAAAATGAAGCTTCATTT